TGCGGGGCGTTGTGTGGGGCGCGGTGCCGGCTGCGCCCGGGGGTCACGCGCTGCAGCCCCCCCGGGGGTCCGGGCATCACATCCCGGGGGACATGGAGGGGTCCAGCACTGCAGGATGTTGGGGCTGCCCCGGGCTGTGCGGGATCTAGAGCCTGGGAAGCAGCAGCAGGATTAGCCCCTGGGGCTGAGGCCAGCACCAGGGTCCTGCCTCAAGGCCGTGGTCACCTGCTCCCACCCAGGCCCCCTCTGGGTGGCAGTGCTGTGGGACCCCAGCATCCTGGGGGGCTGGCAAAGCACTGGGGCTTGGAGCAGGAAGGATACTGGGGAGGGGAGCAGCATCCCCCATCCCATGTCCTGGGACCACGGGGGCTGCTCTGTCTCCTGGCCAGCACAGGAGGATGTCACCTGTCCAGCAGCAGGACGAGGTAGCCCAGCCCAAGGAACCCCCTGAGGGGTCAGGAGCTGTTGGGAGTCCTGACCAGGTGTGCTGCCAGCACCAAGAGTCCCAACATGTTCCCTCTGCCGTGTAGCATCAGGGCCTGCCCAGTGGCTCCAGGCTGTCGCGTGGGGCTCGTGCTGGTTACCAGCAGATAACCAGCACCAGGCTCTGCTCAGCTCCTTAACAGCTGCTGGACCAGCCAGGCCAGTGGTGGCTGCAGGGGGGGAGGGGCCATCCCAGGGCTCCCCAAGTTTGAGACTCGCATGGAACCCCGCTGGGCTGGGGGACTGGAAGCAGCCCAGGACCTGCCCCCCACATGGAGCCGGGCACTGGCCGGCACCTGTGAGCAAAGGGCAGCAGAGCTGGCTGGGGCACTGGGAGCAGCAACAGAGCATTATTTTTAGAAAAAGCAGAGTCCTTTGTTATAAATAGCAGCAGCTCCAGACGGTGATCAAGCAGGATGGGTTCTCAGGCATTTGCTCAGCCCTTCCCCACGCCTGCTGCTTGTCAGCAGCTTCATTGGGCCAGGTCTGCGGGTCCCAGGGCTGGTGGCAGCTCAAAGGCTGGGCTGAAAATCCCCCCTTGCACATCACCCCAAGGAGCTAAATGCTCCGGAGACCTCACGCTGCCCTGGTGCCGCATCCACCCTGTCTGCTCCTGGTGAGGGCATGACTGTCCCCAGAAAGGTGATGCCTGGTGGTGCCGGGCGGTCAGTGCCTGGTGAAAGCCCCTGCCCAGGGGCTGCAGCCCCCTATGCTGCTTGTGGCACCAGCTGAAGTCTCCATGCATCCTCCTACTTGTTCCAGCTGGGGCAGCCCCGGCAGCAATGCCCATGGGCAGCTCCTGCTTGGTTCACGACCTGACCCCAGCCACAGCTTTGCCCACCAGAGGCTCCTTCTTCCCTTCCTGCAGTGCCGTGGGGCTGGCAGGGCTGGCTGGGCTCAGGAATCCATAGGGCCTGACCATGCTCTGGGTGTTTCCCCATTGGAGCCGCTGGTCCAACCACATGCCTTTGGCATTAGCAGCTGTGCCTGGAGCTGGGTGGCCGGGCACAGGCACTCAAGAGCCAGGCCCTGCTGTGGCTTCACAGCCCGCCTGCAGCTGCCTCCCGGGCTCATCCCTGTGTCCTGCAGTGCTGCCACATCCCTCCCACCCATGGTGCCCAGCACCGGGCCCTGTGTCTGTGCCAGGC